AGCCTGAAAATGCAAATCAAGAGACAGAGAAGAAGGTAACTTTTTTTTTTTTTTTTTTTAGTTTCTTGTCTGAGTATTTTAATTTGAAGAGAACTTTACTAGTGTTGCTAAACGTGAAGACTAATCAAATTAGATAGTTTGGAGTGTTAGTTTATTATTCTTCTTAACTTCTGCTACATTGATTAGTGCTTTAAAATGACAACAGCGCTTTGTTGCCTTGAATTTTTGCAGCATATTAGATCAGCTTTCATCACCATGAACTCATCTGTAACAAATTATAGGCAGTTTAATTTCTGTAAGCTGATTTGGCCAGTACTAATATGTCATAGAGCTCTTTGATCCACAAGTTTTGAAACAAATAAAATTCTTTGTCCTAAATTAAATTTACATAATTTAATTTTTAGATTTAATTTAAAACTTTTAAAGCCAGAGTGCTTTAGGAGCTAACATGAGGGGGTAATACTGTAAAAAAGAAGCTCAAAAGAGGTACCCCTGGCCAGGTGCAGTGGCTCACGCCTGTAATCCCAGCACTTTGGGAGGCCAAGGCGGGTGGATCACCTGAGGTCAGGAGTTCGAGACCAGTCTGGTCAACATGGTGAAACGCCGTCTGTACTAAAAATACAAAAATTAGCCGGGTATGGTGGCGGACGCCTGTAGTCCCAGCTACTCGGGAGGCTGGGGCAGGAGAATGACGTGAGCCAGGAGACAGAGCTTGCAGTGAGCCGAGATTGCACCACTGTATCTAGCCTGGGCGACAGAGCGAGACTCCGTCTCAAAAAACAAAAAAAAAGAGGTACCCCCAAACAGTTAAAGCATCTACTGGAGAGTCTAGCTTAAACCTTGTAAGTTTATAATGAATGTTATTGTATTTTAAATATCATAGATTAATAGATTTGTGAAAAATATCCAGAATAAGTACACTAATAATCGACAAAACACTCATCTCATATAATTTAAGAACAATAAAGTAAGATAACAAATGTAACTTATTTAGATATATAATTATTTCTAGTTTTAAGTACTGTGGTTAAAGTACTAAGTTTAAATACTTGTGAGGATCACTTAAAAATAGAGTCTGTACTAAGTTTAAATACTTGTGAGGATCACTTAAAAATAGAGTCTGTTATTAATAATAAGTCCCTTATGGTGAATTCTTACAGTGTGCAGATACTGTGCAAAATGTTGCACATAACTTACTCCATATGGTCCTCCCAACAACCCTTTTAAGGATGTCATTATTATTATTATTCTCATTTTACAGATGAGGAAGTTGGAAGTTAGAGATGTTAACAACAAAATGTCATACTCCCGTGCAATATCACAACTGAGATTCAAAATCAGTTCTATCAGATGACAAGGTGCATGTTTATAACCATTGTGCTGTACGTGTACTAATGATCCTTAAACTATAATCTGTGGATACATAATAGGAGAGTGTGAATATGCAGTCATCTTAATATTTTTCCATGGGTTAAACTGCAGCTTGTTACGGTTGTTGACCTTTGTACATTTTATTCGTGAAGAAACAGAAGTGAATGCGTATGAAATGCCTCCTTTCTCTGCCACAAAACATTTGCCTTTGAAGTCGCCGCTTAGTTAGTTTGGATCATAGTCAAGCATTTAACAAAAGTTAAAATGTAATGCCAAACTTCATTGGTTGGATTTTTTATTAGATAAGGTAGAAATGAAAGCAGCAGGCAATTTAATTAGCAGTAATTTTTCAGGGCGAGTCATTACTTTGATGAACTTCAGAGCAATGTTTATGGCTCCTAATTAACCATGTTAGTCATTTGATTGAATAATCACTTTGGAAATGTTTCTACAATTTGATTAGAGTCTGACCCACTCTGATAGTCATAAATTAACTGATATCACTTAAGGATAACATGACTTTACTTACTTTATGGGGATAATCTCTTCTTAGCCATATTTTTTCAGGCTTCTCTGGACTGTATAAAGGACACCAATTTTAAGTATAGACCAGATTTAAACAATGCTAGCCAAGCCTGTCCATTTTAAGAGGTAGATGTTAACTTTATTTACACTAGAGTATAAATAGTCATAGGAATTGGCAAAAACACAATCATATTCCATATATTTCCAAATTGCCATCCATTGCTTTTTTTGAGAATTTAGTTCACAAGTTGGGCCTTTGGAAGTGTAATGGAGATTCCGGCATTAACCTCATCATATAAGTTATTAATTTATTATGAATTATAAGTCAGTATATCTTAAATATCATCAATTTGAATTTATTGAGAATATTATGAAGTAAATATAGCAACAAACAAATCAGCCATTTGAATAAGGAAGGTATGAGTGAAATTATCCATCAGATCTCAAGTTTGATGTCAAATATCTAGTTTTCCAGCATTATGCTAATTTTGTAATATGTTAAAACACCTTTAAAAGGTGTTCTTTGACATTAAATAGTGAATTTCTCAGAAACGTTTGCATTTCCTTTCTCCTTTTCTCCCACTCTGGGAAGGAAAGACTGCATTTAGTCACACTTATATGTAATAGAGTTTAGCCTATCTGTTTTCCTCTAGCTGCCTCCAGAGTCAGCCAGCTGTTTTTATAGCCGCAATCCAGGTGTGCAGCAGTCAATAAAAGTATTTTGTGGCAGGGTGTCAGCATTAGTTCAACAAAATGCTTGCCTCAAAGCAGCTGCTGAGCTGATGGCAGAGTTATTAACACTGTCCCTTCCAGCCCCAGCTGCTTTAAGGGACCTTATGTCTGGGAATAAATCAAAATAGCATTAAAAATTAATTTGAAGTACCATTGGTTAAGAAGCTGGGCTAAAATGGATTGCTAACTATTTGGTAACCTGAAAGATTAACTATACTGCAACCCTATTATAAATGCAGATATCAGGAAACAGTGTTAACTCTGTTTTTTATATGGTCAAAATTATATGCATCATAATACTTCATATAAAGAAGGCATAGTATAATAGCATAATAAAACTTTTGATAATACATTTTACAGTATTTTCAACTTGCAAGCTTCTAAATATTTCAAATGTTGCTATATTCATAGAATGCTACGGGATTATGCAAATTTATTTGCTAAATGTCCTGGGGCATATTTAAAACTTGTGACCCTGTTTCAAGGACACCATCACATTCATGTGGGTTGCTGTTTGAGCTGGTCTTTAGCAAGGTTTATTTGGGTAAAACTTTGAATTCACCTTCCTGTTCAAGAGAATCAGCATTCACCAAGATATATACTCTTCATTCTTTCATGTGTGGGCCCTGCGTGAAATGTTGATTATATGTTGACATGTTCGCCACATGGGAACCTGTGTCCGTTTCTGTAACTTTTCTGTCTGCACCCTGTCCATTGATAACCACAGCGTTTCAGCTCCAGACTCTTTTTGACCAATGTTGTTTCCTCTTTCAGAAGTGCCTAGCTGCCACTCCATTTATATGAGGCAAGAAGGCTTCCTGGCTCATCCCAGCAGAACAGAAGTTAAGTTATCCACCATTGAAATCCCGTGTAAATACCATTCAGAATAATCAGACATCCCAAATATGACGTCATTTAATTAATCATTATATTACTTGGGAAAAATCATTTACGTTCCCTAAGCAATTGTTTTAAGACTATTTCCAAAGTAAAAAGAAGATGTTTCAAGTAGTGCTATCTTGTATTGGGTTGTTAACATGAGTCATATGCATAGAAACAACTGAAAAGTGGATTTCTGTGTTCTTTTTTGCCAATAATCACATCCTTTTAAAATAGAACATATGCTTTATAGATTAGCCCCCTTTACTACTACTGAAATGTATCTTAGAGGAATATTTGGTTTTGCTTTTACAGACCTAGTCATAGTTTGGGAGTAAAATACCTTCAATTTAAAGGTTTTCACCTTTAAATGTTCTGGATTTTATATTTTTGGACAAATAATTTATATGAATGAGATTTCAGATAGGAGGTCTAGGGAAGGAGTTTTCTCATAGACAGGCTTGTGATAACCGTGGTAGGAAAACTTTGCCTCTAAAGGACTTTGATACTTAAAAAGTAATGGTAAAAATGATTTCGTGTGGATATAATCCTCAGTAAAGGATTTCTGAAATATGTGCATGGTTCCTAACCTAAACACTCTACGTCTTTTTAGTAGGATTGACTTGGATGCATCCTTTTAGGCTAGGTCTAATATTGGTTATTTGTATAAATGATATTAGTCGAATTTTAAAGGGTAGTATGAGATGGTAAATGTAAAATATCTGAAATTAAAAGTTTTGCACAAATGCAATGTAATTATCGTTGCTTCTGTTTGTTAGTATTATATACCCACCATAAAGACCAATAAGTTTGAGAAATAAAAGTAAACTCTATGAAATTTATTCCTGGTAATTACAGAGAGCAACAACGAAAGTTCACAGTGAAGGATATTTGAGAGAGGAAATTATTATGAAAAGCTGTTTGTTTATTTTGCATTTTTTTCTGTGGACTTATGTTACGGAAAAAAGAAAGGAACCTTTCTTTCCTCTTATCTTGCTAATTGAGTACAGGAAGGTTAACCCACCTAAATATTTTACAAGAGAGTAAGGGGATAAAATAAATCTGTCTCAGAGCATCAGACTAATAATATAATGTGAATACCAGTAATTCACCTTGCTTTTCACTTTTTCATTGAACAATAAAATTTAGATGAATCTGAAAAAGGAGACAATGCATGATAAATCCTTGCCAATGTTTAGGTGAGCTCTGGCTTGAGTTAGCAATATAAATAACTAACTTTTATATTTCACTGTGTACTAGGCATCACTCTAAACTACAGCAGCCCTATAACATGGTAGGCGGTGTTACTGTCATCCCATTTAGTAGAAGACAAAACTGAGGCACAGAGGTTAAAATGTGTGTCCAGAGTCAAGGAACTGAAAGGTGGTGGCAGAGTCATTTTCTATCACAATTTTTATTTTAAATGGTTATATTTTAAGTGTTTGTGGGCTTCATTTCTGTCATGAATAAATGTATCCCTTTTTCATCCACAGGCTGTATGTTCGAAAAGGGTCCCAGGCAGTTTTATGATGACACCTGCGTTGTCCCAGAAAAATTCGATGGTAGGTTTTACACTTTGCTTCAAGTTTTGATTTTTTTAAAGATGGAGTGATTACCTTCACTTCTTCTGAAAACAGTGGACATCCCTACTTAAAGATTTCTATGCACATAATTCATCATGCACTTAATTTTAGCTAAAGTTGACCTATTACAATTTATCTCTTTCCTTGCCCCAGTAAGAAGCCGTTTCTTTTGTATTACGGGAGAGTTCCCTTTTGGAGAAATAACCAAAGAGCATCATTCTTGCTGAGCTTTGTGTAGAGTAAGAGGGGGCTTTCCATTGCCCTGCTGAGCACATGCAGCTTGTTATTCGAGATTTATTGAAAGCTGATCCTGTAATTAGCAAAGCAGAGCAGAAAACGTGCTACTGTGGATGTACTGATGACTAATGCAACCTCTCTTCTTTTATTGTTCATGAAAAGATGCATTATGGAACACAGGAACAACATAACTGCCCATTTAGTTAGTGATTGTTAGTCCTTCTTTTTTTTTTTTCCTGGGGAATATGTATGTTACTAATGTAGCATGACTTTGTAATTGCTTAGAAGGGAGTTAGGAAAGCATTACCTTTTTAATATCACTTGCTATTGAAATGCAAAGGTCTCAGATGTTAGAAAAGGGTGTCAAACTAAATTGATTTTTTTTTTTTTTGACAAAGGTGACAAAAGTTGGCATCTTGAGGAAGCTTGGGTTAAAAGTAAACAGTTAATTGGTTTAGTGGATCTTCAGAGTGGTCTTCATATTTCCTGCTTTGATTGTTTGACAGGAAATAAGCAGGGGCCCTCTGATTAGCTGATTGCACAAACTTTGGGGATCTTGGCTCTAACGACTTGGGCGCTCTCTGAAGTTTTAAACTGTCATTATTTAAACAGCAAAGTACATGGTCAGATTGCTTTTCAATTTCTAATTAGTTGCTGGAAGACTACCCTATGTTCCCAAGCTTTCTGCTGCCCTTACCCTTCTCAGAAGGGCTGGTAAGTCTAGGAAAGATCTGCTTCTTTATCCACGCTTTAAGTTTCTAAATGCATTCAAGGAAAAAAAAAAAAAAAAAAAAAAAAAAAAAAACCTATAGGAATCACATTTTTGGTTTTATTCTACAATAGATGTTAACTTTTAAGCTTTGTGTTTCAGAGGGGTGAACTGTACTATTCAGCAACATTAGCAGACCATCAGAATTCTTAAAATACAGCTTTTTCTCTTGAGACAAAGTATAAAGCCTCTTATTCTTGGAATGACCTTCGTTAGTTTCTTTCGTGTTTGGTGAGCTTCATGTTTTCAGAGATCTTGAAAATTAGTAAGGGCATATAAGGAAGAAAAATATCTCAAAATTATGGATAGAATTACAATATAATCTGACAGGCCAAAGTCACACTAATATTTAGGGAACTAGCTGCCTTGATTTTTTATTCACTTCGACTTTTAAATACTCTTAAATTTTATACTAATAAAACATTTTTTGGAAGATAGTATTTGTCTTGTATTTTATAAGTGATGTAGAACAAGAAGAAAGAAAAATGAGGGGGTTATTTTTTCACTGTGCATGGTCAGTGTGATCAGTCACATTTATAGGCAGAAGCAATATAGAGACTATAAAATTTAACAGTGTTTCACTCTATCTGCATAATTGCTTAGTTACTCCCCCATAAAACAAAAATTGTAAATCTCAGAAGGAAAAACTGAGATAAATAAAACTGTCATTGAAATCAATGTGAAGATACACTTCTATATTTTCATGTTAAGAACAAAACAACATAATGATTTTAGCAGCTATTGACTCACACATTTTATATTTTGGTTTAGGTTTTTCAAATGTTGCCCTTTCTATAATTATTTTAAGAGGTATATGTCTCTCTATTGACCATAGGTAAGTTTTAGAAAGTGTGCAATTTGGTGTATTTTATAATTCACACTTAGTATGACTACATAGGCTTAGATATATTTTGTCTGAATTGTTTCTCAGTGGAGAAGATTAATTTATGCATTAACAGTGATACACTTGCAGGGCCCTAGACACTCAATCCCCAATGTGAGCAGTTCCACATATTTTTGAGACATGTGGCTGCAGATAGAAGTAAATAATCAGAAATCATAAAACTTTGTATTTTTTTTTGTAAAATTAATATAACTGACCAGATTTATACCAGAAGCATTGCAACACGAACACCTTTATTGCTGTGCTCTATTTAACAGATTTTTACACTAGATATGAATATCAAATAAATGTAACACAAACTTTTTGTGCTTAAAAATACATACTTACAGAAATCTCTCATGCATGCATTTTTAAATTGGACTTTTAGAAAAAAAAATAGCAAGTTAAATTCAAGTGAGTGAAGAACAAACAAGAGATAAAGAAAAATGAGAGAGAATTTCTGTTACCAGTTGAAAAAGTAGTAGCTTTAATAGGAAGGTATATGATGCGGTGAAGGAAGGGTAGTAATAGTAATATGATAATGCAGTACGCCCTGAATTACCCATAAGATTTTCCTTATTTGTGTAAAGTGAAGATTACTTAACTCAGTTTAGGATACTATTAAATTTGCTTTGAAATATTTGCATTAAAATTTTCAATAGTTTGTCATGAGCCGGTCAATAAGTTATTTATAAATTATAGTTTGCAGAATTTAATTTGTATGAATAAAATGTCCAGAGCTTAAGATTGATTATTCTCTCTTCAGTGTTGCTTAGAGCAGTGGATAATAGCATTAACAATAAAAGCAAAGAAGTCTGATTAGATACGATGGTTTTTAAAGAGATCAATTTTAAAAAAAGATAGTTCCACAATATGTTTGTAAGTAAATGATGTGTGTCATTCATATTGACACAGGATTTATTCTGCACCTGTGTTATATATAGTTATCTGTAAGTTTGTACAGCTTGCTCGTTTATATTCAACCATTTAACCATTTTAAATTCCTTTTCAATGGTAACAATATATTTCATGAAAACCTATAAAGTGGTTGATTGTGGTTTAACCATATTAGTGATTGATTTAAGGTGAATTTTATGTAAAATAGCGTAATATTGCTAATAACAGAAACTTAAAAATGTTTTAATTTAGGAGACATCAAACAAGAGCCAGGAATGTATCGGGAAGGACCCACATACCAACGGCGAGGATCACTTCAGCTCTGGCAGTTTTTGGTAGCTCTTCTGGATGACCCTTCAAATTCTCATTTTATTGCCTGGACTGGTCGAGGCATGGAATTTAAACTGATTGAGCCTGAAGAGGTTAGTTTAATAGATTTTAATTAGGGCACTCAGGCATGTTATAACATAAAGAAACTGACATATTTGATTAATATACCAAAAATGTATTCTTAATCATTTTAAGACTTTAGGGAAACTTTCTGAATTAAAAAGCATGCAAAGATAGAACATGTCTTTTAAAATCACCAATGTATTGCATGTTCCTTCCAGTTGAATACAATCCTACAAAACTGATGTTGGAGAAAATTAACCAGAGCATCCTTTGCACCTTTATTTAAGAATGTCTGGCTTCAGGGTTTCTCAAAGAGCATCTGAATTAGAGAAAAGAGGCAGGAGGTTTTATGGTCCTTAGGGGAGAGAAACGATGTCTGCAAAAGTCAGCTGGTTGGGGGATGGGCAAATGATTCTTTCAAATTAGCAATCATTATTTGGACAACCTGGATTTTGTCATGAGGGTTGGAGAGGAGCATTTAGAGGCCAAAGTTATGTTCAAAAGAAGATGAAGGAAAAACAGCTGTGACGGATAAAGGGATGCAAGGGCAACAGTGGAAAATTCTCAGCCCTTAAGTGTCTCTTACAAGACACAGGCTTGGTAGAAACATTTTCCTTTGTTAGTGACACTTGTTCCAAGTCAGCTGGACTGGCATACTCCTTTGGAAGAGTGGAATGAAGTTTAAAATGTTGCCATAGCACATGGGAAATTACTAAAATAAGAAGAGCCTGGACAAAGATAATACTGTACGGACAAATGGAGGACACCTTCAACTAACTTCAATTGTCCCCTCCTTTCCACTCCCCATGTACAAATGTAGTATTTCCATGAAGAATTTCTCAGTTCAGTTTTTACTCTTCCTAGAACTAGCTTTAGGCTTAAGGCTGCTATTGTTCCTGTAGCATAATTCATCAATAGCATTTTGGACTTCTGATGGAAAGGTAAAGTTAATATCAAGTTGTTGTGTCTTCATTACTAAAGATACTTTCTCTGCTACTATTATAATTAACTTTAGTTTATATCAGCCAAAAAAGCAATGGAAAATTTTAGCTAGCATACCCCTGACTGATTATATTAGGTATTGAATCTAAACACCTCAGTAATATTGAAAAATTCAGTTAGTTTAAAAAAATGTTTGAACCCAAAGTGATTTTCATATACAGTGAACATCCACACCCTTGACTACTGGGTCCATCCATCTTGAATTTTCTGCCTTTATTAAACCATGTATTCAGTTATAATCAGATAATATGCCCTAATTTGATGTCCAGAAGATAAAGTTACATAACGTATTAAAATTTAAGAGATTATCTGACTCAAGAATGTACTGAAAGTATGAAATAAAAGGCACTGGTTAGAACAGTTAAGTCTCCTTCAGTTAAATCTCCTATCAATACTTGAGTAACACTTGAGGGTTAGTTTTGCGGTATCTCCCTTGCCCCACATCAAGCACGCACACACAGAAGACTCCATGTCAGTATTTGAAAATTCTCATTATCTAGGATGATGTTTGGGTGTTTGAATGCTGTAGTGTGTTTAAAATTAACTTAGCTGTCAAAGATTAGTTTTTCATAGATATACTTAAATGATGTAAGTGAAAGAACCACAAAAATGTTAAGCACTAACAAATTGAGACTAGAAGCATTTAACAAAGTAATTTGAAAATCCTTGCTCATGATGGGAGTGTGTGCTCTTCACTTCGTGGAAGATGTTAATAATCACTGCAAGAGTTGGTTCATGCTGGAACTGAGCACATTCAACAGGGATTTGTATCAGTTAAACAGTTATTTCCCTCCACCTGTGATTAAAATAAACTGAGCAGAGGTTTTTGTTGTTGTTGTTGTTCTTGCCATATATTTGTTAAGATAGGGAACATTACTGAATTATGCCAGTATTTCTTGATCCACTCAGAAGAAGAAAAATTATTTTGCAAATGATTAAGCTTTTTATGTAGCAACTGTTGACTTTTATGATGTTCAGATTTGAATAAGTAGGAGATTTGACCAGATGACCATTAAGTTTCATCAAATTCTGAGTTATTGTGATTTTTAAATGGAGGGAAGAAGTAGAATTACATCTGTTCCATACAACAGACTGACATTTAGACAACTTTTCTGTAGCAGCCTTATAAAGTTAAAAAGAGGCTGGATAATTCAGAGTCAGTAGAGCATTTCCAAATAATAACTAACTCAATGGGAATTGTGCAATAAGCACTGAATGTCTCCTAAGGCTTTTGTTCAAAATGAAACATCCCGTATCTGATTGCTGCATTGCTTACTGTTGCTATTACTTCCATCAGGCAATGACTGTAGGGTCTTGTTTAAATTTCTTCTTTGGAAAGGGTTTGTGAAATTTCTTGTCTGTGTGACCTGTGGTCACCCTGTTCCCTCTACTGCCTAGCAGCTCATTGGGTGCCTGTGTCAGCACAATCCGTGAAAGATGTCTCTGAAGCCATCTTATTGGAATTACTGATGGGTTCCATTTCTTTATATTTCAACTTGCAGTTTAAAATGATATTGAGTGAGACTCCAGACCTGCACAGATTATCTGCTCAATGTGTTTAGGGTAACTTTAGAAAACACATGATCTTTAAAGTCTCTTTTTCTGAGATATTTGAGAGAATAAAATGTTATTTTTGGATTAGTCATGACTCCTAGGGAATTGTTCCAGGAAACAATTTTTTTTTTTTTTTTTTTTTTTTTTAGATGGAATCTCACTCTGTCACCCAGGTTGGAGTGCAGTGGTGTGATCTTGGCTCACTGCAAACTCTGCCTCCTGGGTTCAAGTGACTCTCCTGCATCAGCCTCCCCAGTAGCTGGGACTTCAGGTGCACACCACCACACCCAGCTAATTTTTGTAGTTTTAGTAGGGACAGGGTTTCACTATATTGGCCAGGGTGGTCTTGAACTCCTGACCTCAGGTGATCTGCCCACCTCAGCCACCCAGAGTGCTAGGATTACAGGTGTGAGCCACACTGCCTGGCCAGGAAACAATTATTAACATAGTAAGTCATCTATAAGACTCAGTATGAAAGTCTGTTGATGAAATTGAAGCTTGTTGAGCTGGAAGAGTTACCAGGAAGTCTGATAGCCAGGCCCTGATTGTTGTTTTCAGGTTCAATGTTACATATTCGACCATGATATTTTAAAATAAGTTGAATAATGCTTGAACTACTACATTGTCTTATGTAATTTATTTGACAATAAGAGTGAATGCCATTAGTGCTATCATCTTTTTACTCTCTTCGCTAACAACCTAAGTTTTCATTTGAAGGTGTATTATAAGGAAGTCACAGGAAGTTTTCCCACCATTTTTCCCACTCCATGTTGGAAATTATGCCTTGACTTTGAGTGGTATTGAATATGGTGGCGATTGGTGGGTCCTATGTGAAGGCTGAATGAACTTTCTCAGTTGGTGGTTGGTCTACCTGGTCTGGAATTATTTATGCTGTTAATTTAAAACTTGTGTCTTGTCTGCATCTCTTAAGCATATTGCTCTCTCCCATTTACCTGAACTTTACTAGGAATATCACACGAAAACAACTCTAAGAATACATTTTATTGTTTTTAAATGTCCATTAATACCCGTGATGCTGAGAGTGAACCGGCATGATAAGCATCAAACTCTGTGGTATTTTTGAAAATCATATTTCTCTCCCTAGAGACCTCCACAACATTGTCTTAAAGTTGTGGCGAGTATTTTATTGTCTAGGTGCATCCTGGTGAGTTTCTAGAAAATAATCATTTATGAATGAATAAGGATTCAAAAATTATTGTTTAAGGAGATACAAATACTTTATTTTCACATCCCCTCCAGGTTTGCATGTTGTTCGGCTGCTATGCCTATTAAAAGTTCACTGATGTCCATAGTTAGGTTTTTGAATGAAATATTCTTTAGAAAATGCTTTCATTTCTTACTGCCTCCCCCTCCAGGCCCCCCAACCCCTTTTCAATTCACTACTGCTCAGAAGATTTACATTAAAATGAGGTTTATCTTTGGAAAATTAAGATATACCTGCCACTGTGATTATCTGCTGGGATATATGATATTGTCCCTGTTATATCACATCTCTCTACTCTTAAAAAAGCATACTGATGCATGTCATTAAAGTACTTTATGTCTTCACTCAGAATAAAAATTACTGAGAGAGAAAATAGCTAGGATCGGTATTTCTAAAAGAAAAAAAAAAAAACAGCCCTGGAGAAAGGTTATTACTAATAAAGCGAAGAGAGACAGAATGATCTCTTTGAAAAGCATTCTATTTTAGTATATGTGACATAGCAACAACTTGGAATTTTATGGAAATGAAGGCACTCCCTGGCCCTATTAGATAATGTCCTCTTGCGGTTGCCTAGGTTTGCATGGCAGCTGCAGTTTCTGCTCAGACTAATAAAAAGTGGAAATTAATGAGAGAGTGACTTTAGCTGGGGTAGCAAAAGCAAGCTACACTATTCTGTATACTGCTTTGGCTAGCCTGGGGTGGTGATGAGGTAGGGATATACATACATTGAGGAGAGAGGATTTTTTAAAAACTCTATTGAAGAACTCTTAGATACATTGCTCCTCCAAAGCCACATAATAAAAAGCTCTGAGATTTTTTACTAAACAACAGAGTAGACATTCTGCTTTAGAGATTTTTGTTTGCGGACTCATATACATGGTGACCTTTTCCACTTCCTTCTTATTTTTAGCATCCAATTACTGTTCTCTAAATGAATGCTTAATTCATCAGTTTAGTATTGCCCACAGTTTTATTCTGCTGCTGCTTTAGGCAATAAAAAGTATTTGCAGTCGGTTTATTAATTTGTATACTGTTTCCTCTGCTACACACATTGTCACTTGTTCACTCTTTCACATAGTATTGAGCAGGGTATCTTTTTTCCTTTGGCTTATCATAACCTCAGTAAAACACCTTTACAAGGAGATCACTAAGCTGCTCTTTATCCATAGTTTTTGTCTGAAAAATCAAGAAGGATAAAACAGACAGTATATCTCAGAATGAAAAACATGCCTTATTTTGGTGAACTGTAACTTGTTCATTCCTGTTGTGAAAACATTTCCTTATTTCCATTTAATTTTGTATCCAAAACAATAGTGACAAATAATTCCATTGTGGTGCTTCAGTAGGATCACTGCACGCGTGGTTTAAAATGCAAACCAGGCGAGGCGCAGTGGCCCACGCCTGTATTGGGAGCCAAGGTGGGTGGATCACCTGAGGTCAGGAGTTCGAGACCAGCCTGGCCAACATGGTGAAACCCCATCTCTACTAAAATTATAAAAATTAGCCGGGCGTGGTGGGGCCCACCTGTAATCTCAGCTGCTCAGAAGGCTGAGGTAGGAGAATTGCTTGAACCCAGGAGGCGGAGGTTGCAGTAAGCCAAGATCGCACCACTGCACTCCCAGTCTGGGTGACAGAGCAAGACTCCATCTCAAAAAAAAACCAAAAAAAACAAAAACAAAAGCAAACCAGGACATGGGAAATCCAGATTACGATAGCTTTTTCTACTTTGCTTATATCCTTGACTTGGACATTTTTGTGGGTTTGGAAGTAATTAGTTAATTAATTTTTATGAAATATGCTGATAAGTTAATACTCAACACTACAATGTAATTCTGTTTTGGCTGCAGGTGGCCCGACGTTGGGGCATTCAGAAAAACAGGCCAGCTATGAACTATGATAAACTTAGCCGTTCACTCCGCTATTACTATGAGAAAGGAATTATGCAAAAGGTGAGCAGCTAATACAGCATTAAAATTCATTGAAATGTTGCACATTAATCTGCACTTCATACTTTAAACGCCACATATCATTGCATTGCTGAAGCAAGGTTTTCACTCATTTTAACAAATGCTTAGCTCCTGGTTTTGGTATTACAAGCCTTTCTATGTATAAATGCATAGACATTGTAGACAAATGTGTAGCGATGTTATATACAAAATAATAGGCTTTCTGGAAGGTCCTACTTTGCTGCACATGGTTAAAAAAGGTTGTTTTAGTATTAATATCACATCTATCTTCAGAAGTTTTTATTGTGCGTTGTCCACAATTATATAATTTTGAAATGCTTTTGTTTGTAGCAATAAAGAGTCTTAGAATAAATTTGTACTTTTTTCTTGTTTTGATTCTTAAAACAGACATTTCTTTTTCTCATTTGTAAAAACATTTTTTTCCTTGCCTCAAATCTTGCTTAGTTTTATCATCTGATAGTTTGACATCCTAAACCATTCATTAAAAAGTGAATATTTGATCTTATTTGGTTGGTGGAGGTTCAATATATTTTATTTCAAATGAGCTTCCCACAATATTTGAAAGTAGTTTTTTGTTTGTTTGTTTGTTTGTTTTGAGACAGATTCTAGCTCTGTTGTCTAGGTTGGAGTGCAGTGGCGTAATCTTGGTTCACTGCAACCTCTGTCTCCCAGGTTCAAGCAATTCTCCTGCCTCAGCCTCCTGAGTTGCTGGGACTACAGACGCGCACCACCATGCCCAGCTCATTTTTTTCTTTTTAGTAGAGATGGCGTTTTGCCATATTGGCCAGGCTGGTCTTGAACTCCTGACCTCAGGTGATCTGCCTGCCTTGGCCTCCAAGGGGCTAGGATTACAAGCATGAGCCAATGCACGCGGCCAAAAGTAACTTTTTAAAAAAGAGTAGAGATAAAACAAGTGAATTACACTCAAAATATAAAATTTTTGAAGAAAGAAATAAATAAATGAATGAAGATAAAACATGGATATTTGTTTTTATTACACCCTTTAGCTTTGCATGTATACAGAAATCTAAATGCTTTGACTATGAACCAAGTTTATGATTTACCTATTGTGAATGTTATAGTTTTATTTTGTATTGTTTGTTTATTTTAGGGTTTGTAAACATAGTTACATGTTATAGATTGTGGCATATTTTTATGTCACCATAGTTATACTGAGAAAAACTAGACCAGTTGCTACATGAAGCTTATTAGAGCAGCGAAAAATGGCACTGTTGACTTTCCTCGAACATTGTCTATTAACAAGAGGCTTATTACCTTAATGCTGTAGAATTTGCTGGCTCAGATGTTAGAACTTCCATGATCCTTAAAAGAAAAGGCTGACTTCCAGTTTTAGTTGCTTCCTGTTTTCTGAATCCTGCCTTCAAAATGTGTAACTGTTCACTACCTGCTCCTCCTGTCTTTCTCATCGCAACCTTGGGGTCATTTCTAATTCCTCCCTTTCTCTTAACTACTTTTTTGTAGTCAGATCCTTCAAATACTTTCCATTCCTTTTTTTTCACCACCATCCTCCTAATGCAGGGGCACATCACCTGGGCTGTCACAGATGGTGCTCAGCAGTGTCCCTGGGCAGTATTGCACAGTAGTAACAGATAAGGCCGTCAGGAATTAGGTTTGAATGCTAGCCTCTCACCAGATTACATTCTTGAACAGATTATTTTCCTAGTAAATGGTGATATTCTTACCTCATTAAAGTTGCTGTGATTACTAAATGAAATAATGTACTTGAGATACTTTACATTGTAACTGGCACAGTAAGAGTCTCCAATAAAGGGTAGCTTCAGTGCATCTCATCTCCTGAAGTCAGTGTAAGCCAAGGCATATTTGGTGTATCTCTCTTGACCATCAAGTCTCTTATTAAAGGGAGCATTTGCAGAGAACTAAAAATTATTATGAGACCCCTAATTACACTTCAGCTTTTACATACAGTGGTAGACAGGGTATGTCTAGGCTGTCATGCCTGGTCTTAAATATTCTCAAATGTGTTCAGACTTGTTACTAGTATCACCACTTCCATATTCCTCTTTATTCATCCTTGTACCCCATATCACATTTATGTGTGTTTTCTTTTAATAAATTAATAAAGCAAAATGCTATCAAATAATGGTGGCATAGATACTGAATGATGGAATAAAGTGTTGTTGCTCCTCACGTTTTTCCCTATTAGGCTGTAACTGTCAGAGGAAACTATTTACAACTCATTAATCAGCAAATATAGGAAAGTGCAATGTGATAGACCTTTTGGGGTGTCACTGTATAATGTAAGAAAGGGCAAGCTGTTGGCCGGGCACGGTGGCTCACGCCTGTAATCCCAGCACTCTGAGAGGCTGAGGTAGGCAGATCACAAGGTCAAGAGATCGAGACCATCCTGGCTAACACGGTGAAACCCCGTCTCTACCAAAAAATACAAAAAATTAGCCGGGCGTGGTGGCGGGTGCCTGTAGTCCCATACTTGGGAGGCTGAGGCAGGAGAATGGCATGAATCTGGGAGGCGGAGCTTGCAGTGAGCCAATATCATGCCACTGCACTCCAGCGTGGACAACAGAGCGAAGACTTTGTTTCAAAAAAAAGAAAAAGGAAGGAAGGAAGGAGGGAGGGAGGGAGGAAGGGAGGGAGGGAAGGAAGGAAGGAAGGAAGGAAGGAAGGAAGGAAAGGGCAAGCTGTTTAATGGACATGCAATAGTTCAAGTCTACGGAACTTGTAACTAGCATAACAATCAAGGCCCCTTACAATTTTTATGACTATATTTACCCTTCTCATTCGCATTCTTCTTACTGTTTCTTGCCACACACCGACTCCCCCAATGTATCACTCACGTTCTTTATTTTTAAAATTACATTTATTTACTTATTTAGAGAAGGAATCTCGCTATGTTGCCCAGGCTGGCCCTGAACTCGTGGGCTCCAGCAATCCTCTTGCCTCAGCCTCCTGAGTAGCTGGAACTACAGGTTTTCTTCACTGCACCCAGCTAATCACATTCTCACATGTGTACCATTCTGATGTTCAAGTAAATTCTAGTAGAGTCATTCAGAGGAAAACTATGCTGTTCTTTTTTAAATAGCAAAAACTATGATGTTGAATTATGTATTTTAACAAGTAGGAGAAAATATTTATATGGCCATATTTGTTCATTAACTTAAAACTATGTGGGCATATGTGGTGTATGTGACATAAAAAATTAGAAGATTAGAGAAAAAAATAACTTACATCTGAACATGTTAAAAAAAATTGACAACTGGTAATTAATTTTAGTAATTACGGAAGAAGTAAGAAACAATGGAATAGTGTATATTTACCTTACAGACAATGCCTATGTGTACTTCTATTTCAAAATTTGGAAATGCCTAGAACAATATATACCAATATGTTAATGGTGATTATATTCTGGATGATATAATTATAGACCCTTTGTTTTAACTTAATTGTTAATTTCTAATTTATCCTTCAGTATCCGCATATTACTTCTGAAATTTTATGAGATAAAACATAATTTAAATATCCAGCCATTGAAAGCACAGCTCTAAAGCTATCTCCTTGTTTACTTTTGATTCATCTCCCTGGAAAAATTTCTGTTTTTTCTGTCTGTCTCAGTGTTGCAGTTTGGCTATACTTAATGTACAGCATTTTCCATGTTAGTATAGTATTACTAATAATGGAAGACATCATTTCCCTTGGTTGGTTATCATCCCTTGTTCTAGACTCAGTAGCATTTAACATAGTCCAGCAAATGAAGTAGTAGCCCTAAAAATGTTTATTCAAAAGGAATACAGAAGGAAGCAGTGAGGAAAGGCAGAGTCTTTAAGAGATTGTATAAGCTTGATTGCATGTTACACATTTTAATTCATTTATTACATAATTTCTAAGTATAGCCAATAGCAACCCATCAAAGGAAGTCCAGTACTTAGAGCAAATGTCTCTTCCTCCACAGCCCCAAACAAAACAAAGCATGTTATAAAACACTCAGAGGTATGCAGGCCATTTATTTTATTTTATTTTTTCTCCATATACTTTGAACAAATAAAAAATAAAGGAAAACTAGGATTTATTATCTCAGCTTTGTTCCTGATAGTGCCTATTTTTATGTTTATGGTCATTTCATCACTTCACCTTTAAGATCTTAATTTTCTTTGTATGAAGGACTAAAGTAAATAAATGTATGCCAGACTCCTCTGTTTATGCCACAGTGCTCTGTGCTGCAGACTTCCATCCCAACCTCGCAACGGGCTTTCTAAGGCGCCATTCCTGTCTCCATTTCACGGAAAAAGCCCCTGAGAGGTAGTCTAAGAAACAGGTCCAAATTCATAAAAACTACTAACTGTTCTTTCTTTCAAACCTAGGAACATTCAGATTGTTTGAATTCTCTAAAGTGGTTCCTCTTACTTAAATTTAGGGCAAAAGAAAAAAAAAAGTTCTACATTTGAATTCAGAGCAGCAGTGTTCATTGGCAACTATTCCTTTTCCCCCAAAGATACAGCGATACTTTATAACCCAGGAACACACTGTTGCCCCACATCAAAAATCAACTAGCAAATGCCTTTGTTGATGTACAGGGACATGGAGGTATCGTGTCACCTTCAGCTTTCTAAAATGTCATACTTCTACACACCCATACAAAGTGACTATCAAAGTTAATACAAAGAACTGTATTCATCCACCCACCCGCCCTGGGTTTTGAGAGCATCTCAGCATTGTCTATTAACAAGAGGCGTATTCATCTCACTCAGTTGTTTATAATTTTCTAGGAAAGCATTACTCTTCAGAATTTAAGTTTGGGGTATGTCATACCCTATAAATTATGCTACTTCTTTATTCCAGGCAGTTGTCACATTTCTTTTTCTCATTTCCTCCCTAGGCATTGTGTATTTTAAATTCCTTTCACTTTTTTACACCTCTTACTTCAATTTGACACTTTACACACATCCTTAACTCTGTCTAATGCATCTTGCCTTCATTTTTAAAAGTGATGTACCCAGGATACTGTCCTTTTGATCCATCTTTCATTTAAATGGGGCTATGTATCCTTCCTTCCTTTTCTTTCTTTTTCTTTTCTTTTTTTTTCCTTTGTGAAAACACATAGTGCCCAAAAGAAAAAAAGTAAAGAATCAGTTTACTCTGTGAATCAGTGAATTACTACTCTAGTCTTACTGGGAATAAAGCACACTTTTCTTTTAAATTTTGAATCTAGTTTCTATACCATTTCAGATATGTAATATTAAAAGGGAGATTATACCTTGAAAGTACAGATTTGTAGATACTCTCTTTCAAAATGCAGAAAAAAACTTTCAATATGAAATGCCTGCATAAAATAATAACTTTTTTCAAAACAACAATGTAAGTTTACCTCTGTATTAAAACAAGCAAATTCCTGTGCTTCCTAGCTATATCTGGAATTAACTATTATGATTCAAGGTCAACATTTTGCATTTCCCTTGACTGAACTGTAATTTATTCCACAAAGTAGAGACTTATTTTTTTCTTTTGTATGTGTATTTGCTATTAGTTGTTTGCTTTTTGGGGCCAGAGTTACCCATCCTTTTCTGGTATATTAAACCACGTTTTTGTTTTTTTCCTTCCCTGTCCTTCCCCATCTGGCGATGGTGAGGATGGGTTTTTCTCTTCCATGTTATCATCAGGTGGCTGGAGAGAGATATGTCTACAAATTTGTGTGTGACCCAGAAGCCCTTTTCTCCATGGCCTTTCCAGATAACCAGCGCCCACTGCTGAAGACAGACATGGAACGTCACATCAACGAGGAGGACACAGTGCCTCTCTCTCACTTTGATGAGAGCATGGCCTACATGCCGGAAGGGGGCTGCTGCAACCCCCATCCCTACAACGAAGGCTACGTGTATTAACACAAGTGACAGTCAAGCAGGGCGTTTTTGCGCTTTTCCTTTTTTCTGCAAGATACAGAGAATCGCGGAATCTTTGTTTTATTTCTGTTGTTTGTATTTTATTTTTTAATAATAATACACAAAAAGGGGCTTTTCCTGTTGCATTATTCTATGGTCTGCCATGGACTGTGCACTTTATTTGAGGGTGGGTGGGAGTAATCTAAACATTTATTCTGTGTAACAGGAAGCTAATGGGTGAATGGGCAGAGGGATTTGGGGATTACTTTTTACTTAGGCTTGGGATGGGGTCCTACAAGTTTTGAGTATGATGAAACTATATCATGTCTATTTGATTTCATAACAACATAAGATAATGTTTATTTTCTCTGGGTGTCTATGATACAGTTAATTTCATGTTGTGTAAATATCCACTTGGAGACTATTTGCCTTGGGCATTTTCCCCTATCATTTATGAGTCTCTGCAGGTGTACAAAAAAACCCCAATCTACTGTAAATGGCAGTTTAATTGTTAGAAATGACTGTTTTTTGCACCTCTTGTAAAAAGGTATTTAGCGATCGCATTTGCTGTTTGTTGTTTTGTTTTGCTTTATATATGACTTGCAGAGGATAACCATAAAATGGGTAATTCTCTCTGAAGTTGAATAATCACCATGACTGTAAATGAGGGGCACAATTTTGGACTCTGGCTCCAAACTGAGTCATAGGCCAGTAGCATTATGTGTATCTGGTGCCACCTTGCTGTTTAGATACAAATCATACTGTCTTTTAAATATTTTGAAGCCCATTTCAGTTAAATAATGACATGTCATGGTCCTTTGGAACCTTCATTTAAATGTTAAATCTGGAATCAAAATGAAGCAAAAAATATCTGTCTCCTTTTCACTTTCTTCAGTACATAAATACATTATTTAATCGATAAGAATTAACTGTACTAAATCACATATTATGCTGTTCTAGTTACAGCAAGCACTCTTTAAGAAAAATATCCAATACACTAAATAGGTACTATAGTAATTTTTAGACATGGTACCCATTGATATGCATTTAAACCTTTTACTGCTGTGTTATGTTGATAACATATATAAATATTAGATAATGCTAATGCTTCTGCTGCTGTCTTTTCTGTAATATTCTCTTTCATGCTGAATTTACTATGACCATTTATAAGCAGTGCAGTTAACTACAGATAGCATTTCAGGACAAAATAGATGACTCAAACCATTTATTGCTTAAAAAATAGCTTACGCCATGCTATGCTATAAGCAGCTTTTATGCACATTGACAAATGAAGAGTAAGCTTCAGCTTGCTAAGGGAAACTGTGGAACCTTTTGTAACTTTTGGTGATATGGAAAATTATTTACAAACTGTCAAAGAATATGAGGAAGTTGCTGTATGACATAGTGCTGGCACTGATAGTATCCATCATCTCTTTTTGGACACTTCTGTAAATGTGATTGGATTGTTTGAAAGAAGATTTAAAGATTTAAAGTTTCAAAGTTTTTTGTTTTGTTTTTGTTTTGCATTTGGAGAAAATATTGAAAGCAGGGTATGTTGTTTCATTCACCTTGAAAGAAACATGAGTCAATGGGGATATAGGATCTCTGAAGAGCTTTCTAAAATATTCAAGCAAGGGACATGAATTTTGTTCCGTCTATCAATAATATCCCAGAAGAACAACTTTTTAAAAGAGTCTATAGCAAAATGCAAAAAAAAAAAAAAAAAGTTCTAAACACAAAGTCAAAATAAACCTATTATAAAAGCATTTCATGATGAGCATGGAAAAGATTGTTTAAAGATGATCCCCCCAGCTCTCCATTTTCCAAAACTACACAGATCACAGCTCATTTCTCTAAATGGAGCAGTTATCGAGAAACCCAAACACCAAAATTGCTACTCTTCACATTTAATCCTACAAAAAAATACTCCAATTTCAAAATACGTATGTAACCTGCGATTTCAGTGATTGTTGTTCATATACATCATGTATTATTTTGGCCCATTATGGGCCTAAAAAAGAAAACTATGCCTTAAAAATCAGAACCTTTTCCCCCCACTATGCTTATGTGGCCATCTACAGCACTTAGAGTAAAAACAGATGTTAAAATATTCAGTGAAAGTTTTATTGGAAAGAGAATTGAGATATATAATTGAGATTTGGTGAAATTGAAGGAGAAAATGTAAGTGAGTCTTTAAAATATATTCTGAATGAAAACTGTATTGAGGATTCATTTTTGTTCTTTTGGTTTTTTCCTTTTCCCTTTTCTCCTTTTTCTTCTTTTTAATAGTCTAGTTTTAGTCAGTCAGTGAGGAAGAATTGGGCCATGCGTTATCACAAGAGATTAATGGCAGAAATGGTATTAATTATATAATATTTAAGGACAAACTATATGTTTTGCTATTTAAGGTAGTGACTCACTGAACTAAATACATAATTGACCAACATTAAGTGTATTTCCAATACAGAAGGGTTGAAAATATTACATTATAAACTCTTTTGGAAAATGTATCTAAAATTTTTTAAGTTCTGTTTTTATTCCACTTTTTGGTTGTGTTTTTATGTTTTTATTTTCGGGTAGATTAATAAATCTGGCAGCTGATTTCTGCAAGATTCTTGTGTTTTGAATTTCTCTTTGAATTGGCTACTCAAACATAGAAATCATTCATTAATGATGTAATGTCTTCTCTCAGCTTTTATCTTCACTGCTGTTTGCTGTCTCTTGATGATGACCTGCTAATACCCAATAGATTAATTGCAATGAACACTTTTATATCTCAAATAACTAAGGAAAAATAATTTTTCTTAAGTCCATGAAAAGTGTTTCAAAATAAAAATCCACAAGGCTGACAGTGCAGAACATTTTTCTCAAATCACAGAAGGATCTTGGAGGTATAGTTTCCTGTAGATGCTGTAACCAATCACCAAAACTTCAGTAATTTACACAAATTTATCTTATAGTTCTGGAGGCAGAAGTTCAAAAGAAGACTTAAGAGACTAAAACCAAGATGTCCTTGGGTCTGGTTCCTTCCGGAGGCTCCAGGGGAGATTCTTCCAGCTTTCACTTCTAAAGTCTGCTGGCATTCCTTGGCTCCTGGCTACATCACTTCAATCTCTGCTCCCATGGTCACATACTCTTCTGCTACACTCAAATTTCCTTCCTGCCTCTTATAAGGACGCTTGTAATTACATTTAGGGGATGCTCAGATAACCCAGGGCAATCTCCCCATTTCAAGATCCTTAACTTAATGATGTGTGCCAAGTCTCTTTGGCTAGATAATTATTCACAGGTCCCAGGGATTAGGACACGGATATAAGGGGTGGGGGCAGGGCTGTTATTCAGAACACCACAAGGAGGAAGACTGTGTAGCAAAGATTCTAACTGATTTACTCAGGAACAATAGAGTTCTGCTGAGGCAGCTAGGATTTGAAACTACTACAGTTCGTTTTTATTTACCACTGGGATATTTTCCCCTTATTCTGCATAAATAATTTTGAAAGATTGCTATATTAAAGTTCATCTATTCCACTAAAATGTCTGGTAATCACATCAAGCCTTTAGATTATTCAAATCCTTCCCCAGCCCCCGGGAAAATACTATGTCATGAGAGAGAAAAACAGAAGGTATGATAATAACAGTAATAACAGTTTTTATTTTTCTAATCCAGATTTTATTTTTTAATACATTTCTTTTGGTGGTGTTAATATGAGTTACTATGTGATCTTATCATTTGCTAGTTGATTATTACTTATTAGGTAAGAACAATGTGTAAAATATGTCCATTACTCAAAAGAACAATTGTAAAAATGAGTCAACTTGTCTTTATATAACCAGGAAAGAAATATATTGCCAGAAGTTACAGAATTTTGCCAGATCATAGGGATTTCTAAAATGAGCCACTTTGTCTATCATGCAACCTTTTCAGAGCTTATAATGAGAAAACATTACAGAGGAGAAGGTCATTTGGATGTTTATTACTTGGAATCTTAGAAAACAAAAATTAAAATTTAAAAATAAGTGAGTAAGCTGTTTTCCAGTTGCTTTTTGGTATGGAGAAGAGAGGAAATAGAGTTACAAGAAAAATACAAATTGGGTAAAAGTGATGGTGGAAAAAATATAAAGAAGGCAAATGTACGTATTAAGCAATTCTACTAAGAATTGCAAAAACCAACTTTCAAAAAGATGGTAATAGTTGGACATGATAGTAGAAAATTTCACTCAGTTTATTCAGAGCTCAACTAGTACTTTTAGGACTTCTTTTTTTAATACATGAGACTCACTTTGACATACTTAAAAAAATAAACAGTTTGTGGAAAGTATAGTTTAAGACGAGAATTTGATTAGACTAGTGGATATCTTTACAGAAATATTAATGATTTTAGAATTTTCAATTAAAAGTGTATATACCGTAGCTATTGTTTATGGATTCATATGTAAGGTAGGGCCTTTTTTGCATATAGACTCCAATATTCTTATTTACTTTCATTCTAAAATTATATTTATGCTTCTATGGGGACGAACATTTTTAATTCATTTGGTTGTATTAAAATTATACTTATGGTTTGAGAAAACATGCTATGAAAATCGTGATTATAGCAAATTAAATATGCTCAAAATTTAAATCTAAAATAAAAGCCCAGAAACTGAAAATATTGGACTGTCGTGATCACTCTGAAAGGTAGCACATCTAAAACTGATAAATGTCATCTAAATTTTTGACTGCCTCCTAATCATCTTGTCATTTTTAATAGTTTATGACCACAGCACTCAAGTAATGTCTTTGTACTACTTTTCCATATATTATTCTCTTTTTAGATAATTTAGGTACCAGGACACCTGATAAATCCTTTTTCAGTTCTATGTTCTAATATCTTTAAATACCTTGTTTCACATAAATTCTTCAATAAATATATCATGGAGAAATTTGGGGAAGGGAACTAACTAAATTATTTCAGTGACTCCCACATGCCAGGCAGCACAGATATGTGACTTATGTTACTGCCTCCAAATTGCTTGGTTTTGTCTGATGAGAAACTGAAGCCAATGGCAAAACCAGATTGTCTTTGTGTCAAGATGTCGTGGTCACAGGCAAATCATGAACTCTACCTTTTTTGTGGAACTTGGACCTAGCTGCTTTTCTGATTTAATTTCTAATGACAAAAATATCTATAATAATAACACATTCTGCTGAAATATGGTGTTAATTTTTTTTATCATTTTTGAATAGTCCTTGTAGAAAAATCTAAAAAGAAATCAAGCACTATGTAAACAACAACAATAAACTGAGTTTTTTTTAAGTGTCTTTAAGCATTTAGAAACCAAACTGATTG